CCGTTCTTCTGGATGGCCTGGTCGGAGTTCTAATAGTCTTGGTTGACAGTTGACTGTGTCAAACTTCAACAGTTGTAGTGGAGCAGACAGAGTAAAAACGTTTAAATGTAAAAACGTTCTCTTCTTATTCTTTATAATGACGCAGCTTACTAAGGCATGTTCAAATTCTGAGTTACACAGGATATCTTCTAAATAAATTAGCATTCTAACTAATTAATATTTATAGGTGGTAGTTTATAGGTTCCTTTGTATTTTTTTTATTATAGTTTTTACAGCTTTGGGTTCTTTGCCTTTTGAGCCAATCGTCAAAAACATTTCAAATTAGTAAAAGTAAAATATTACACAAAAATCGCAAAATAAAAACACTAAAATTTATAAATATTAAATGATATACTGCTACTTTTTTTTATATACATTTTTTTGTAATTGAAATTTCACGTTATTCATCACGCTGTTTTTTAAGCTGTAGTAAATAAAATCACTATATAAATACATTAAATTCAACATTATTTATTGACTTAATAATAATATCACAAATCAAAGTAGATCATAGAAATAATCGAGACCTTGCCCTAGTTCCCAAATGGCAACACCTATTCCGTATTCACGAGCGAGATCAAGTCTTTTCTGAATGGAATAGAGACTTGGGTAGAATATCTTTTTGGAGCCCTGTGAAGTTCTGAAAAACATAAAAGGTTAATTATTGAATGACCTATTCTTGTAAATACATCGAGCATACATAACCAGAAATAGAGACGAAATGTCATTTAATTTGTTTGAAATCTATTCCGCCATATCATTATGGTGAGAACTACGCTCCGATTGACCAGCCCGAATTCGAAACAATTGACGGGTGTCGTCAATTGTTTCACATCAAATGACCAATTTAATTTGAGCTTTGCTATAATTGATGAAAATTTAAAAATTACATATTTAATATTTAATTACAGACGAAATGTGATTCCGTTTGTTTTGTAGTTAGATGTTTTGCTGTTTTTCCCACACCAACGAATGGGACAGCCTTCCATAGTTAGAGATATTATCTTTATTACAATAAATACAGAATATTTTTGGAATATGCGGAGACGTACACACAGGTCAGTTGTTGGCGCTGTACTATTTCAGCTTTCTAATTTGTGATTTCAGTACAAATGAGAGTTTATATTTAAAAGTGATATAAGCCCCATTTGCCTGATGAGTTACCAGAGATGGATGGCCTTTATTTCGTCTCTATTTCTGGTTATATACTCGATGTGTAAGTCACTATTTCTAATAATAATTAGAAACGCGGGTTGCGCACAAATTGATAGTAATACAAAAAAAATGTTTTATTTTCTCTCTAACATCAATAACTAGTTACAGCCTTACGTAAAATAACAAGTTCCTTAATGAGAGCTGGAGCAACTGGGTTGGAAACGTGTGTTTACAGATCACCAGTAATAAAATAGGAATAGTTACATTATGCCCAGCCAAGCATTAGGCGTATTAAATAATAATCAGAAAACAAAATTAATGAAAATCTAATTTTTCAACACAAAAGACATATTATATCTTTTGGTTTACTATGTTGATTGTGTTTGAAATTTCTATAATACTATAAAAACCATTTAAAATTTCTACCAACAAAAAATTAAGGAAATTTCCTTTATTCTTTGTTTATAAGGCATACCTTTTCATATACTTTTCATACATTTATTCTAAACTTTAGTTATCTAAATGTTTGTGAACTTAGTTCGTAGTAACAGTATGTGTGTCGTATATCATAAAGACAAAACGAGAAAAGTTAATAAAAAAGGGTTGCAATGTGAAAAAAAAAGAGGAAATGACGGAGATAGAAAATGTGATACTTCGAAACTTTGGCCATATGGATCTTAGTTTAATAACGACACAGAATATACAGCAGATACTTACTTAATTTCCAAATAATTCTCAGCGGTATTATTATTATAGGTCAAAACTTGATTTGTCTTGGCATTCTTCAGCAGTTCAATGTACTCCGTACCGACTATGGGACCACCGCCATTGGCCGTATAAGAATTGCCATAGAAATTCAAGCCGAGGAGAATTTTAGCTCGTTTGGATGGATTCTCATCTTTATCTATTAGTTTTTCTACACAAAGCCTCATCCAATATAGTGGTGCGTTTGGACCTGTTAGTAAGTTAATACGCACAGAATTAATTACAATAAACCGCGAAAAGCTGCAGTTTATGGGTGATATCCAAAATTTTTGTTTCAGACCTTGTGCATCCTGCAATTAATCTATTGTGATAATGCTTATTGGAATTCTGAGATAAAGCCAACACAATGAGGATCAGTCACCTACTTAATATATAATTTTTTAATCGGTAAAAAAATGAAATACAGCTATTTTATTGCCATAATCCCAAAACACGCATGTAAAAAGAAAAGATCCCTGTGACGTCATCTGTCGCCATCGGATCCCGCCCCGCCGAGTCAAGCAAGCTCCATAGGCTATCGCACTCAATCCCCAGATTTGTCAACTACATCTTTCGTATTTGTTGTGGTGGTAATACAGTGGCATCACACACAAATATTGCATTATGCAAAAATGCAAGAAGACGCACGTGTCTATAAATTATATTAATTAATTAATAACCTAATAAATTGTTTTTTTTTGGGTTCCGAGAGACGCGAATTTAAGAAAAAAAATAGTATAATGAAACGAGATGATGAAATTCCTCTTCCAAGTAAAAGTGTTTTGTACTGTTGCGAAGATTATTTTGGCGTAACGAACATTGTACCTAACTATAAATAAATAAATAGTACTAATAGTCAAATTACACGTAAAAACATGTACCGATAGTTATTGCTTTTGCAACCCCTTTTTTGAGCTGTACAGTCTTCACATTCAACGTTTATTATCTATCATACTATCTATCATTGCATTTCAACATTTCCGAGCATGTTTGACAAAAATAATTTAAAAAGTAAAATGCTCGTAAATATAAAACTCATGCGTTGTAATATTTTTCTATTTCAATTATATTTTTTGTGGTTGATCCTCATTAAAGAACTGTACTTTTTTTTTTAAATCACTTTGTTACATGAAATCTACACTCACCCGGTTTCTGAGGACTAGAAAAGTCATATGTCATGACGGATACAGCTTCAACATATGGGTAAATGTCGTTAAATGCTTGGATAAAGAACTCATCGGTGGGAAAGCCTCGGAATGGTGGGTAGACTAGAATTAAACTAAGATTATCTTCACTCATTTCTAAACCTGAAAAAAATTTCGAATTCATTACACAATAATGCTGTGGTTGTCAGCTGTTATATGGGTATCTTGCAACGTTTTGGAGGTCACCTTGTAAGGTCAGTCCAAATAATAAGCAGTAAAAAAAACTATATTGTGTAAATAATAGTGACGACGAGAATGAGATTCAAAGTTAAACGGGGCAGATTCGTACACTTTACATTTTTTTTAACTTTAATTTTGGGCTACTAAATTAAATTATTATTAATATTTTTTCTACCCAATTGATGATATAACTAATAAACATTAATATAATAAACATAAATAATTTAAAAAATTTGATTCTACTTAAAATGGGAGCACACCTTTGGGGTACTTTGATACATCGCTTGGGGCACTGAGATGTGTGAATCGACGTAGGATCGTATTCCCGAACTCTACTCAATGCTCAAGTCAGGATTTGAGTATGATTCAAGACGTGGAAATCATACTCAAGTCATTGCCATTAGGATCGTATTTCCAGTGCTTGAAATCATACTCAAGTCCTAACTTGAGCATTGAGTAGAGTTCTGGAATACGACCCATAGTGTGCCATTCCTGGTTGCCATGTATTATCAGCACAACCTTTTCATAAAGTTTAATATGACGCTATATATGCCTCAGTACTTGCCAGATCAAGTCTTCTTGCCTTCTTTCTAAGGCATCATTTGAAGTGTTCTTTGTAATGTAGTATTGGAAGTAGAAATACAGGAGGAAGAGCTGACAATAGCGCAAAATGTCATTAGTTCACCTCTTTACAATAACTTGTTGAAACAGTTTTACATTTTTCGTACAAAATAACTAATAGGAGCACTTTGATACGTACAAAAACTGCCCCACTCACCAATGTATAAAAGATACTTATTTAAAAAAAGTCTTATATATTCCCTCAAAGACACAAGCAATTTTAGTTATTGAAAACACTAGTTTACCCTGTATTAAGACATAAAACCCTGTAAAGTAAACAAAACTGCAGTGGCACTCGTATTCGTGTCGCTTATATTTTTTAGTCAACAGCTATGAAAACACTTTGTGAACTGTCGGCCGTCAACGGCTAACTGGTGAGCTGCATCATCGCATGTCTATTACTCACACGTACAAAGGCACGTTTTAGTATTATCACAACTAATATTACGTTTGAAAGTATGGAGATAATGCAGGTGTATGAATGTGCCCCTTGTATCAAACTGCCCCGCTTTCCCCTAGGTACATTACACATGACGGTATACCTGTAGTTTGTTGGACAGAAAAATTCCCTCATTTCTATCCAACAAGACCATTTTGAATTAACGAAAAATTCGGTATCACATGACAAAAATTAAAAAGTTAATTTTGGACTTTAATAATGTATGAAGTTATTTGCTATTCTGTTGTTATATTTATCTTTAATTTAATTTATTAGCCTTAGAATACCGTAGAATGTTACTTAAGTGTACAACGCATGTGTACCTGTGTAGTAATTCTTTTTATTGTATCATATGTTGTATAGGTTTGAATTGTATATATAAATATATATTTCTTAATTACTATAATATTTTCTTTAGTTGTTTATTATTGAAATGCATCACCACTTCTCAGTTTTATGTAGTAATTAGTTGTTAACAGTGTTGGTAACGCAATCTTTACATATTTACTGTGTGCATTTAATTGTGTGCATTCTGCATCTTTAGAGCCCAAAAATACATACACAGAGATGTAAACAGTTGGTGCTATATATCTGGTAGTGCACTTACCAAATGCCTGTATAAACTTGACAGACCGATCTGCATACTTGCCGACTTGGGACAACATTTCTAACACAACTCCATCGAATTTCCACTGCTTGCAAACTTTCTTCACTTCAGACATGAGAGCTTTTTGCTCTACAATTGATGTTGGTTCAGTGAAGAACGCTTTAAGATCTGTTGGCTGCCAGTTGTCAAATAACATTCTTGGGAGGACTGGAAAGTGTTAGTGTTATTTTATTGGTAGAAAATATTAAATAATGATTGGAGAAAAAAAATTACTTAACCTATGAAGGCATGTAAGCGTATTAATGATTACGTATGTTCAGATTACATGTCTTTAAACAGACTACATGTCTTTATTCATTATGTTCTTTTTTTTTTAAATTAGCCAGCAATAGTGTCCGACTACTGGACAATGGCCTCTTCCTTGGACTCTCAATTCTCTCTATACATGGCAATCTCCCACCATTCAATCAAGAAGGCATCTGTGTAAGCCTGCCATCTTCCCCTTGGCCACCCATTATAATATTCTATACAATATTGTACATGATAAATGGAAACTAATATCAATTTACAAAGAGCAACTACAACAGATGTAACTCATTCTTCTCTCAAGAATTAACTTTATAAGTAAGACTGTTTAATCAGTTTCTATTTCATATGCAATTTGCCTACTGTATGAAATAAAGACAGTCTGAATTTGAATTAAACAAAAAAGACGAAAGCAGAGAAACAGCCAGGACCCAGCAATTTGATTTATCAGAATTATAATGTCATTGAGTACAAAAGGAAATTCCTAATTGTACTTATAATTATATAAAGTGATTTAAAATACCATGATTAGGTTACCAATTTTATTCAGATACGTAGCAAGAATATAAATACTAATGCTACATACTTTTTCCAAATCTGGGTAAAGAAAGACTACTGCCATCCACTTGCTACGATCCTGACATATGTTGTTCTCAGAAACATACCTTTCAAATTACTATCTGCTCCCTTATGTTTAACAGCTTTTACCCAGGCGTGGTCAACATCATGTAGACCTGAGATAATGTAAATACTAGGCGACTGGCGTTTGATTTGTAGCCATACTGGTGAGATGTAATTAAACTTTGGACCCCAGATCTTAGCAACTTCATAGCCTTTGCTGTTCCACTGATATAAAAAAGAACAAACAAAATAATGTTAAGTACCAATTACTATGTTTCTGTAAAGACAATAGTTATGTTTCTTACATTTTTCGTAACTGTTAACCTTTGCGTAATATATAAGTAAATTTTGTTTTTAAGATAATTTTTTTAATTTTTGAGAATGTAGACAATTTTTAAATTCAACTATATTTTTATCATTGTAAATTTATAACACCCATGCATATTTTCCAAACAAAATTAAATCTACCAATTAATGGCTAAGGCTTCATTTTATTTGGAGCATATCTACTTTGTATGGACAATGGCACACCAGGCTACACATTTTTGTTCGAAAATCACCTCCAGTGCAACGGAACAAGATACGTCAATGTGTAGCTTGATGTGCTGGCGAGTGTATCTTGATTATTGTACAAATCTGTATAAGCACAAACTAATGTTTTATGCATAATATTATAATATTTGTCTTGCTCTTGAACCATTGCGTAGTAGAAGCATTGTTTTGTTTCTTTTTAGGATTAAGTCATACTTATACAATTGTTAAAATAATTTTGTTTTATAAAAAAACGAAATTGTATCTTTTGAAGTAAAATGTAAGTAATCAAGTAAATAATCGTAATTTTTGGCTTAAAGACAACATTGAGAGACAAATTTCTACTATATAGACATATTAGAATCATGAAATTGTGGATAACATCTACCTATACAGTAATTACGCCACTCAAAATAGGCGTTACGACATTGAGCAGCGAAAGCGCGCTTAAGCTATAGGCATACTTAGAAAAAGTAAATCTAACCAGTTTTTAAATCACATTTCGAACATTTTATATATTGACAATAAATATAGGAAGGTATTTACGCGCACAACTTGATTACATGGTTTTGGCTAAAATATTGATTAGAACACATGGATATGATAACGAAAATGTAGATAGGTACAAAGAACACGGACAATTCGACACATACAAATTTTTCAATTGTTCTTTGACAGAAAACAGTCAAATTTACAAGGTCTAAGAACGATTTAATATGCCGAAAAGGAAGAAAGCTTACGGGTGTAACATATCCTAAGACTGGATTCTTAAAATTCCTCGTCGACACATCTTGATGATACGTAGCATGGTATTTCAAAATATCCTTTACGTACGGTGTCTCGGAGACTAATTTCCGATCAAGAACATTATTTTTTCTAGGCCCGTCTTGCGGTTTTACTCCCTTTTGCCCCTTCTTATCGGAGGGCGGTGATAGCGTAGCCAAGCAAACATTAAGAAGAAATAAAACTTGAAGTAGTGTTTTAATACACCTCATTTTCTACTATCATTAAATGTTGCGAATATCGTAAGACAATTCCAACAGTATCACTTCACCGGCAACTCAACACCACAACCGCACACACATAACAAATATAATCTAAAATTCTGAAAATGTCATTACGACGATGTCAAGTCAACTTTTTTTATTTTATGGCCTGGCTATTTAAATGTAAGTCTATTTTGTTGAACCGTTTTTTGTATTACGAATTTGTATCAAACTTTTGAAGATGCTTTTCTTGAGCTGTTGCTGTCAACTCTACCGTTGATCTGAATCTTTTTCACAAAAAAGATATGATAGAAATATCTTCCCTTCTATAATGTTGGCCATCAGCGAATGCCCGTAGAAGTAGAAAAATGCGGTGTGCGACAAATTTTAACGATTACCTAAGTGTACGAAGACGGATGGATAGGCCGCGGCGGATCAATATCACCCGACCGTACAGAGTGTAATATTTATTGTGAGTAAAATTTAATTTGTACATCACCAAATCTCAAGGCCGTGACATTTGACGCTTAAAAAGTGACCGTGTAGTGCTTCGAAAATTACGGTATAACCCATTGACTTACAAATAAATGGACGACGAGTCTAATACAAAAACCACGAAAAAAATGTTCCAAGTCAACCTATTCGAATTTTAAATTGTAATGTCATCGCAGTATCGCGCTGTCAGTAGAACAAATGAAGACTGTCGCGCTCTGTATACGATTTTAGCGCCTTACAAGTGCGGACACTTTTTAGCGCGGACCCGACGTCCATATAATTGTAAGTCAATGGTATAACCACAGTATTTACCCTATCCAGTTAGGCCACCGAGAGGCAGTGATTCGAGCTGTACGAGTGATTCATATGCTGGAACCATGAGCAGTACGCCTGTTATCATAGATTTAGGGTACCTATACAGGGTGACCTTGAGAAAGCGTAACAAATTTAAATATTTAATTTTATGCGTTACAAATAAAATTTAGAGCATGTCTTTGTGGAAAATTAATGTGTTTTTATTAGTGGTGCTAAAAAATTGTAAACAATGTAAGTATCAATCAAATAATTCCTCACATTACCGCTAGCGTAAAATCACGCACGTGTATCTACAAAGTACCTACGACTGAATGACAACTCCCCGCCTTCCCGCTCCTTCGCCCGCGCTTTTGTTATTGTAAACACGTAATAAACCAACTTTCCCTTCATACTGTTATCGGCTTAGGACGATCAAAAATACAATAATATTCAGGTAGCTTGCTTGCTATGCGTGGATAAAAAGAATAAACCTGATTATTCGTAACAACAACACGTAAAAGCGCTTATTGTATTTTTGGCGTATTTAAAAAGTTGAATCACGATATTTACAATAATTGTCTTATTTACAATGTCTTAAAAATTAGTCCAATCACTTACGTGTATTTTAATAATTGTTCAAAATGTCCACCTCCACTTTGCAAACATAATTGAGCACGGCGCCGCAAATTGTCTTTAAGTTTTCTTAGCACTAATGTTTGTGATTTTACAACTGTAAAAGCATTTAGTATTTTGTCCTTTAATTGTTCTTGGGTTTGGGATTCGCGTTCGTACACAAGTCTTTTTATATCCCCCCACAAATAAAAGTCTAGTGGAGTTAGGTCAGGCGACCGTGCAGGCCATGTTATGGGTCCGCCACGACCAATCCACCGATCACCGTACTCCCTATCTAGATACATTCGCACTTCACTGAAGTAATGAGCCGGGGCTCCATCCTGTTGGAAGTAGATATTGGCTAGGTAAGACAATGGCACATCATCTAAAAGTTCTGTTACGACAGACGACAGAATTTCTAGGTAACGACTCCCAGTTAATCTGCCATCGATAAAATAGGGTCCAATTACTCGGTCATTAATTATCCCAGCCCACACATTCACACTAAATCGCACTTGGAAAGCGTCCCTGCGCGTTACGTGTGGGTTTCGACCACGAGCACTCCACCAATGTTCATTGTGCACGTTAAACAATCCTATTCTTGTAAAAGTTGCTTCGTCAGTCCACAGAATGTTTTGATGGAGATTTTGTAACAACCAATTACAAAAATCTCTTCTAGGACGATAGTCGGCTAGTACGATGTCTTGTACGGGCTGAAAATGGTACGGATACATTCCCGATGCATTTAATAATTTCCAGACGTAATATTGGCTTACATTAAACCGCCTGGCTGCTTGTCTAGTACTAGCTTGAGGATTTTCATAAAAAAATCTCTTTATCATGCGGTACAACCGTCTCGGATATACTGGTGACCTCCCACTTCCTCGGGCGTGTGCAGGGACGTGGAAGCTAGCGAAGTCCAGTAGGTTCTGGTAGACTCTCAAAATTCTTCTTAATGATGGTGGACTACTGTTGGGATACCTTAGCAGAAATCTTCGCTGCGTTTCTCGTAGATTTCCCGTCGTATTATACCAGCCAATCATGTTTACGTATTGTTCGTTAGTAAAAAATGGTACACGACTATTTCCTCTCGTCCTAGGCATCTTATTTACGATAACACACGTCAACAATTAGTCAATTACAAATTAATCATTCGCAATGTTATCGTATTGCGCTGGTGACCGCGACCGTGACCTCACTTTAGAGATTCTTATCATACACTGCGGGCGGGCGCAGGGAAGGCGGGCGCAGGGGCGGCGTAGTGCCAATAGTCCGTGGCAGGGATGTTGCGCAAGCGGCTTGGCAACGTCGCGCGTCCTTTACTTTCGTTTAGTATAGCGATGTTGCCGTACTTCAGAAATGAACTCTGCTATGCAATTAATGAATTGCCTATCGATATCGGGATCGGGCGCACCTAAATTGATACTTTAATTTTTAATACTTAATTGTTTTTATTTTATTATACTCGAATGCCAAAAGTTCGTGTCTACGTGAAGACAGTAACTTAGTTTTGACTATCTTAAACTATAATTACACTTTTTTTTTTAACGAATTAGATTTGGGAAATTCCAATTTAATATGAATGAGTAACTGTTACTGAAGCTCCCATTTCGATTTGTTACAAGTTTTCGATGTCACCCTGTATACTAAATCTATGAGTTTAATAAACTTAAATTACCAATTTGCTGCCTTATTGTGGTTTACATTCATCGTCGACTGTTATATCAACAGAAAAAAATGTCTAAGGGTGTCAACCGTAGAGGGATTCTCCCTGTACGGTGTTAACATTATTTTCTCTAGTGACAAAAACTTCGAGACGTCATCTTCGACTAATCCTATATGGACGTCATAACCTATTTATTTGAGAAAAAAACGAACATGATTAAATTATAATTTTTATTACTGTTATATACTATACATATAGTTTCTGTATACTCGATGGCGTAGACTATGGAAACCAATTTTTTTCATCCTCTAAGCCTTTAGGTACTCATCTTTCTTTCGCATGTTTGTCGAGCGAAGCTAAGACGAATATGGCAAAAACAATTATAAGCAAGTGGGTAGCAAAAAAATTGTGTTTTACAATTTTTAACAAATAAAAATTGGAAATGAAACTATTTTTCCGGATTTAAATCGCGTATATTTGTTTTTTCACACAAACCGACGTTTCGGGCTCTTTACAGGTCTCATGGTCACGGTTGACTGAGGTAGTACAGTCTTCAACCAGTTATGTCGAATATTGATGCAAACCGCCTAAGTCAATGAAACCGCCCTATTTTTTCACTATAGTTACAATAGTTATTAATTAAATACCTTATTTTAATTTTACAAAGAAAACATTCCAATTTACGCTACATTACGTTTTACAAATTATTTTATTGCATGAATTTTTATTAAGTTCAATTTATTATTAATTTAATAATAGGAAAAATAGTTCCATTTCCTATGTGTAACAATCGCGAAAACCTAAGAACTCGATAAATAAAGATAAATTGGTTGAACTTCCCCGGGGATCAAACAAGACAGATTATTTTCTCTCAACTAATATCATCTATTATATGTCTATTATACCAAGTATGTACAGGTACTCTGGGATCATCAAATCCAACAAGGTTTATCTGTTATTAATAGTTTTGACTTGGATACAAGTTCTTTGAGGCATGGAAATTGCAGTTCTAATATATTATGTTTTGACTTTCTCCTAAATAACTTTGTTTACTTATTTGGATTTTTTAAATAGTCTTTTAAGCGGCGGGAATCAATATTAATGTTTTCACTTTCACTTAAATCACATTATGCTTTGAACAAAAACTTAGAATTCGTAATTAGTGGAATTTTCAGGATAGTCTTTCGTAATTTGGCCTAAAATAAGGAATATAGTTCTATTTCTTCGTCGTTATTTCTTTCTTCGTTTTATCTTTATAATATCAAAGAGAATTTAAGCACTACGTTTACATAATATACTTAAATATTCTATGTAAAAACAAAGCTTTTATTATTAATATTTATAATTTTTGGCTTGGATACAAGTCCTTTGAGCCATGTCTTCGTTTAATTATCGGAATCATCAGTAATATTTGCCATTGTAGATCTAAATTCTAATACATTATGATTTGACTTTCTCATAAATAACTTAGTTCACTTATTTGGTTTTATATATAAATATACTTTTAAGCGGCGGGAGTCAATATTTAGGTTTTACTTTTATTATCACGTTACTTCTATCACTTTGAACAATAACTTTGAATTCGCAATTAGTGGAATTTTCAGGACAAAATCTTTTGTAATTTGGTTTAAAATAAGGAATATAGATCTAACTTTCTTCATCACTGTTTCTTTCTTCGATTTTGTTTCATAGTATGCTTAAAATTAAAATAATCTTTGCAAAAAACTGTGCTCGTAACTTTAAAAAGCCACCATTTTTCATTTCAACGAGGTTTTAATTAATAATTTTGGCTTGGATACAAGTCCTTTCAGCCATGTCTTCGTTTAATTATGTTTCTGTAAATATGGCCGCCATAAAGAGGGTAGGCAATTTGAGCCAGGCGGCGTGCTTGGATTGACTCGGGATTGGTTAGAAAACGGGCCGATACGGGTATTTTAGTTCGAGATACGTATAATTTCGCTTTTTAATTGTCGATTAAGGTACAATAGCACTATCCTGTTTCACTTTAAACTAGACTTCACAAAATAATTGAAAGTCAAAATAAAAACGACACTTTTCCCTCCAAAAGGCCCAGAGCGAATCTCAACGAGGTGAGTAGGTGACATTTCTAGAGACGCACAAACTCGTAAGAAGAATCATATAGTATATGTCGTTCGATTTTTCGCTCAAAACCGGTGAAGGATGAATAAAATGTTGCCATAAAAATGAATTGTCGAATTTGAAGTTTTCTCAAGTATTTAATTGTATTTAATTAAAATAAACTGAGAAATGTGCCTTAATCGCATTGTTTAATGTGGTATTCTAAGATAAAATAAATGGGTTGAAAGTCCAACACATGATTGGTATACAGACATTGTTTGTTTTAAATTAATCTACTGTGTGTACCAAGTTGGACTTTGACATTGTAACTGCTCTCTTGAGAACGAAATACAAAAATAGACGAAACCTTGTAGAAACTAGTTTATTGAAATTAACTTTCCCTCAAGTGTTATAGTGAAGTATTGGTTAAAATGTCAGAGAAAAGCAGCCCTGCAAAATATTTTATTAGTGGTGGTTTTGGCGGAGTATGCACTGTACTCGCTGGACATCCGATGGATACGATTAAAGTGCGGTTGCAAACCATGCCACTGCCGAAGCCTGGAGAGAAAGCTCTTTATCGTGGTACTTGGGACTGTTTCTCGAAGACTATCAAACGAGAAGGTTTCTTTGGCTTGTACAAAGGCATGTCGGCGCCACTCACTGGTGTCGCTCCTATCTTTGCAATTAGCTTTTTCGGTTTTGGTCTTGGTAAGAAGCTAATCAAGAGCGACAAAGATGAAGTTCTGACAAAACCACAGTTGTTTGCCGCCGGTGCGTTTTCTGGAATCTTTACTACATCTATCATGGCCCCTGGAGAGCGTATTAAATGTCTGCTTCAAATCCAGCAATCTGGTACCACAGCACCAAAATACAGTGGCATGGTTGACTGTGCTAAGCAGCTGTATGTAGAAGGTGGCATAAGGAGTATTTACAAAGGGAGCATTGCAACAATTTGCAGAGACGTACCAGCCAGTGGAATGTATTTCATGACGTACGAATGGGTTAAAGAGGCATTGGTTCCAGCGAATGCAACGGACCAATATAAGATGTTGATCACAATATTCGCTGGTGGCTGCGCTGGTATAGCTAACTGGTTAGTTGGCATGCCAGCTGATGTATTGAAAAGTAGATTGCAGACTGCTCCGGAGGGTACATACCCTAATGGTATGAGAGATGTTTTTAAACAACTAATGAAGAATGAAGGTCCAACCGCATTGTATAAAGGAGTAACACCAGTCATGATCAGGGCTTTCCCGGCGAATGCTGCTTGTTTTCTAGGATTTGAGCTTGCAGTTAAATTCCTTGACTGGGTAGCACCAAATCTCTGATAGCAGTGGAAGTATTAGATAGGATTATCGCAATACCAATGCAAAGTGTAAAGAGAATGTAGGTAATAAGTTTCCCTTGATATGTTTTGTACAGGTATTATTTTGAATGCTTTTGTATCACGGCAATTTATAACTTATGGTTTAAATTTGCTTTTGTTGGAACCTATTTAATTAGATTTTATATGTCGCATAGAATATGACAACACAAAACATATTGTCGCCTTCGAATGAAAGCCTTGCATTTGCACTTTCACATTTGTATTTACTGACTTTTGTTGAAGAAAAACTTATAAACTTCTTGCTCAAATATATTAAATTAATATATCTGCAAGAGGTCTAATTTAACTAATTAAAATGCTAAGTTATCAACGTTATTGTGTTTACTACATTTTACACCACATTTTTATCTTCATCCAGAAAAATTATTTAGAAATCACATGAGGTATTCACTCTAAGACGATGATGTGTAGGTATTAGAACAATTTTCAGTTATTTGTGTGTAAAGTGACAAAACTTTTTTTTTCTAATTCATTTTGTGCAACTGTTTTTTCTTGCTGTAAAGTAATCTAGCAGACAAAGAACTTATTGTAAGAGAAATATATTTTTTATAAAACATACAAATATATATTTTATAGCTTGAACTTTGATTTCTATTTTTTCATGAAATATATTTTTCATCATTTGTTTGTATTTTTTATTGGACAATCATTTTAGTAAAACTTTGTTCCTTCTTCAACGTAGTGTTAATACATGTTATGTATTGGTAATAATATATATATATGTATAACATATAATAATGGTTTTAAAATCATAAATCAATCCTATTTAGGAAATGATAAGCAACAACTGTTTTAATCTTAGTAACAGGGTCTTTGTTATTGTTATAGCAATAATTGAAAATACATAATTAGAGTTCAATG